TAGATTATGGCTCGGATTCCTTCTTTAGAATCTCGTTAAGCAATAACGCAAATTAGATCTCGCTTCTTTCTGTCCCACAAACATTCATTAAGTGAATGACGAATTTTATCTGGGGGAATATTGACCAGGACACAGGGAGAAGCTCCGTTCTAGTTTTGAAGAGTTCTTTGAGATTTTGAACGTCCACCTGAACAAGCAGACGAGACCTCAATTTAACGTCTTATCTGTTGGATAGCAACTCCAGTAATGCAGTGCTCACCTAGAACCGTACTGGATTATTAGTCTGTCCTAAGGTCCTAAATTATGCAGTTATGGGACATTCCATAAGGAGAACACTGTGATAGAAAATCATTGTATTTTATAAAAAGATCTATTTATACCAACTGAACAGAATAAAGGACTTTGTTTACCACTGATTAAAATGAGGTAGTCGATGATTCATGAAATGTTGAGAGGATTTGTTTAAATGAACAAGCATTAAAATACTTTACTGCCAACTTACTGTCTGTAAGAATCACACACAAAATATAAATTGCTCTCATTATTGTTACATCTCTGACAAAACAAACCTTCACAAGAATGAAGAGAGTGGAACTTTTACAAGTTCATACATTTAAATAGGGTGTGCACACAAACCCGAGTGTAGATAACTGCAGACACCAGAGTTGGTTTATAAAGAGTGTGTTGGAGAGTTTGTGCTGATTGACTTGCACCATTCGAGGATTCTTTAAAGACATGAGGCTTGCTGATAGATTTTGTCATGGAAAGCTTGAGTGAGAACAAAATGCAAACTTTATAGGCATCTTTCTCCGTCAGCTGGACCAATACAGTTACATTCACAGATGTTAAAACCAAAGTTTGAATTACTCAATTACAGATGAGCCTAAGTTCCCTCTGAACGGAATATGGGTAAGATAGAAACCATCCTCCTCGGCTCTGTCCAATACCTCCACTCTTCCGACTCTGACCTCCTCAACCTTCCCTGGTCTCTCTTTTAAAAGTCTGAACGGGTGAGCAATCCTGGCATCCAGACTGATCCTCATCTTTCCTTTCTCCCTCGAAATGCCCCTCGCTGTCTCCAGTGCACTGCGTTTCACAGCCACTCTTTTTATTTGTCATTGCCCTTCCCTTCTACTAAAACAAAAATTGCTTCAGTGAAATATTACTGTATCACATAGACAGTACAGTGTAGCTTGTTGGGTTGATGAGAGATCTGAATGTGTATTTTTCTAGCACTGCAAAACAAGTCACACGTAAATGTTGGTCATGCAAATGTGAGATTCAGTTCAACATCTGTTTATTCTTTCATCACTCCTATTGAAATGCACTGATTCATGCATTCTTCATGTGTACGTCTAGTTAGGAAATGTCAGTGGTAAGGGTGGGAAAGTCTAACAGCTGAGTCTCCACACGTCCACTTTCCAAGCAGATAGCATTGGGAAGCAGGAACCCTGCCTGACTTTTTTTTCTTTCCTGGCCCCTCATATATTATATTGGCTGGGAAGTAACAGCACGGGACACCACAGATCGCTTCTTTTGCTCTATAGTATTAGCTAACTCAAAAGCCATGCTAAGTAGCCTACCTGTCTGCCTACTCTCCCAACCAGATAAACTCAAGCATCTGGAAATATCTCATAGGAACAGGAGTTTGCCATTCAGCCCCTCGAGCCAGTTCCACCATTCTAATAGATCATGGCTAATCTGTACCTCAACTCCAATTCCCACCTTTGCCCTGTATCCCTTGATACCCTGACCTAATAAAAATCTACCCACCTAGGTTTGGAAAATTTTAATTGATCCAGCATCCACGTCCTCTTGGGAGAGAGTTCCAGATTTCCACTACCTTTTGCGTAAAACAGTGTTTCCTGATTTCAATCCTAAGTGGCCTCACTCTAATTTTAAGTCTACGCCCCCTTGTATTATCCCACTTGTAAAATAAAGAGATCTGAAAAGATTTTGCTGTAAGCAAAGCTCTGGGTAGGGGTTTTCATCTCCTGAGTCATTTCCTCCCCTTTGGGAGATGAAGGTGCAATGAAATTGATAAGTTGTCTGGTGGATATTACGCATCAGACACACAGTGGGGAGCAATAATTTACTGAAAAACCACAGAGAAACGTCAGCCATCTAACCGTGGGTGGGGGGGGGGGGGGGGGGGGAGGGAGAAAGAAAGAAAGTGATGTGCTGTTTGAAACCAAAGTTGTGTAAAAGCAATTTACATTCGTAGTTATACATTGGAATAACTCTTTATATTTTTAGCCACGTAGATCATTAAAGTTATTCAATGCTCTGGGATGTTGGGCTGAATTGCACGGGATCATTCAAAATCTGTTCAACTTAGTGATGTTAATGGAAGAATGATAATCTTGTGTGGGGTCAGGGGGAGGGCAAGACTGATACCCAGGGCCATGTTAGGGAAGACAACTTACAATACAGGAAGGAGACTAGGTGACAGAATGCACTTCGGAGGGCAATATAAAAATGCAAGTTGTTGTTGTTGCCGTTGTTGATTGAGCAAGAATGAGGGAGACAGTAACAGAACAAAGTCAATGAAAACAGACTCAAGCGATTGGGAATGAGTGGTAAGCAGGACAGAGTTAAAATGGGAGAGGCTGGGAAAACGCTCTCGCACCATAAGGCAGTAGCATTCTGCAGTGTTCTGGAGGCATCTGGGACTCAATTCAAAGTGTATGCACTGAACTGGTAAAGTAATGGCTGAACTAGCAGTAGTCTAATCACTGAGTTAGCTGTGGTATAAAATGTCGCAATCTCACATTTTCCTTGTGGTCATTTTTGTGTTGAATAGATAAAGGTGCAGCTGTAAGAATGCAATGTTGCCGGGGCATGAACCTAAAACCACTAATGTAAAGTGAGCACCTTATACAGGCAAATCTATCACTCACCCAATTTATTCCATCCTTCTAAAATTTTTGACAGTTACATCATTGAAAAATTATTTGATGCTCAGTAAAAAAAGAACACTTCCCATTTCAGCCAATTCAGTAAACTCATCAAGTTATTCCAGGCTCCGAAGCCAAGTCTGTTTTGTAGGAAGTCAAATTTTTACTTTAAAACAAACAGGCAACTTCACCATCTGTTTCACATAATATATGCTTGTATTCGACCTTTAAAACTCTGCTGTGTTTTAACAAAGAGAAACAATCTGCACCATATGCTTCAAAAATGCAGTTATATATTTTTTAGCAGCAACTATGTAGAAATGTGACCAATGTATCTAGTTACATTTGGGATTTAGAACTCCGGTGGTTCTCTCGTTTCGAACATCACATCCTTTATTTTATTCATTGCTCTGGTATTATGAAGTTTGAAATGTTGATTGCAAAACTGGCTTTTACTTCTAAGTTAAAACTGCAGATTACCGCTGAGTAAATCCAAAATTCATTGTAATAATAACAATATTCTTTGCATTTGATATAGTTAGTCAGTGCCTTTCACTTTGGGAGGACTGCAGTGACTATGTATTTTGTCCACATCGAGACATTGAACTCATGAAGTTCAATGTTGAAGTCTAGGCTGACACTCTAATACGGTGCTGGGGGGAGTCCTGTCCAACAATCCCCTAGAAAATTCATCACTTGGTGGCTGTTTGAGGAACACTGCTAGACACAAAATTGGCTGCTGGATTCATTGTATTCACTCAGAAAACAGTCTGAACTGGATTCATTGTATTCACTCAGAAAACACACTCTGAACTACACTTCAGAGTAAATCCTGTGAAGTGCTTTGAGACATCATCCTCATGTGAAACGTACTGTATCAAATGTAAGGATTATTTATTGTAGCGAGGGAAAGGGAATTTAGAGAGTTAATTTTGAGCAGTTAGTGGCACCGCCCTGCAGGAGACACTTCAAGTGGACAAAGAATGGAAGCTAAAGTACAAAGAAGAGAAAAGGTACACCTCCCCCTCCAACTCGCCCCCATAATGTTTAAACAAATTATTGAGAATAACAATACCTCCACCCAAGAGGAGCACAGGTTATTGCCTACAACAACAAGAACAACAATTTGGACTTATATAGCCTTCACATGGGGTAACAAGTCTTGGAGCGCTGAACAACGGCATAGTTTCACAGCGAGCCACAGAGACCGTAAGCACCAAGAGTAAAGTCATGAAGTGTGATATGAATATGGGTGAAGAGGGGGTAAGGTGGAGGGATAGCGAAACCAATCAGTTCTGACAGGGAGCCAATGGAGCATGGGAAGGACTGGGATGATGAGGATGAAGGTGGAATTTGGTACAGTTAAGGATATGAGTGGTGGAGTTTTGAACCAATTCTGCACCCTTAGCTCCCCACTTGCCTAACCAAACATCTGGGACTGAGGCCAACTCTATTGCTTCAGCGCCAACTCAACTTCGGCAGAGCCTTGTCAGGAAAAATTTGGTCACTTAGACCACGACTGTTTGTGGGATATTGCTATGCGCAATTGGTCGCTGTGTTTCGTCCACAAAATATACAGTCAATTCACTTTACACTTTATTTCACTTTCAGACTCCTCGATCATGTGATAAGACACTATATGAAATGCAAGGTTTATTACTATAGTTCTCCTGGAAGTACTGTGCAATGCAAATACACAGCTCTCAGAACTTGCATCTGTCAACACTCGATTAAAAAAAGTCACAGTAAGATGTTTTTCTATCAAACGTAGATACAAGGGAGAGGAGTTTGAACACCCAAGGATAAGGTTACTGACGCCTAAATGTATAATGAAGTGGACTGTTGTGAAAGATTAGGGAAATCGATGATTTTTCATGTGTTTATAGAAATCCTGGTCGGAGCACAAAATCCCTTGGCAAACAACCATGTTTACTATAATTCAATTGCACAAAAAGGCACTGGGCTGGAGCAGGTTCTTGGAATGCAAAAGGAGCAAATTCAACTCTTGAAGCAATAAATGGGTGTTAGCCTTCACATGTCAGAACCATCGCTGTTTCTAATTGAGTGCACCCACTCCCAACCACAGGCTCGGTAACGCCTTACCTTGTCTCTGGGTCATTCGCTGCTGAAGATGCCACAAACCCCGACATTAGTTTCTCAGCTGAAAACGGAACAACATCGGAAATGGAAGGCGAGGGCGCATTGCTGCGGGATTTAGGGATTATTGTTTCCAGGAGCGCCGGTGGGCCGGAATCCTTGCGCATCAAACGCACAGGAGAAGATCTGTCAGGTTGAATGGTGTGAGCCATGTGGCTGTTTGCCCCATGCAGCTCCATCATTCTGACGTCAATCATCTTTTGAGGGGAGGGTGGTGGCGTTTTGGAGCCCACCGTTGGTATATAAGTGTCAGTATATTTCCTGGACTTCATTCTGTACATGGACTGTTCCATCATATCGCTCTGCACAGGGGAATTTGGGTACATGTTGCCAGGCCGGACCGATGGCCGATGAAAGGCGACGTGATCCGGGATGTCTCCGGGAATCCCAGAGTGAGGGGAGGCAATGCTCATCCTCCCGTCATGGAACATGTATGGATCGGCATACAGGCCTTCATTTCTGAACAGTGCAAGGTTCTTGTTGCTCAAATCCTCATCAGGCTTTACATCCCTCCTCTCCAGGATGGCACCAGGATGGCTTGGGGATATGGATCTTGACGGTGGCACACTGGAAAGTATGTCCCGAGGGACAGTGGCACTGCCTGGCATGGCTATGGCTCTCCCCCCATTGTACGGGATCCTGGAAGGAGAAGGCGGCATAGAGTGGGCTAAAGGTGGCGAATTTGGTGGCCCGTGTATAAAGGGGCCCGGACCCGGAACTTGATGACGAAAGGAATGAGGGGCGTCTTTTGTTGCGTACATCACCTCTCTTTGCATCTGGAACAAAAATAGGAATATTGTGTTAAACACGCACGTGTTACTTAGTTGAAGCAATACCCAGCTTTTCCCGTGAACAAGGACTGAAGATTGATTTTAGTGCTCATTATACAACAGTAGTCACACTGTTAAGGGCTGTTGCTGGTTTTACAGGAATTGTTGACTTTATGCCAGTAATTCTATCCAAATGTCCCGTTTTAACTCCGAAGGAAAGCCCCCGCACTCTTAATCAATGCTGCTTCCCAAAGGAATACAAATATGCTGTAGGTTCATGAAATGTTCAGAAAGAATTTCAAAATAATCCTTCTACATAAAAATACTCCAGAAAATCAGTGTAAATAGGGTCAGACATTCCATTGCTGTGAAAGCTAGCAATAAAATCCTAACTAAACGTCTGGAGAAATATAAACTGGTTGCTAGGCTTGTCCTGACGAGATAAGCAGGATCAAATAAATCTGGAATTAGTAACCTAATGGTATATTTTTCAATTTACTCCAATGTCAGTGACGCTTCCTTCCTGCCGCAAGGAGAGATGCTAACAGTAACCTGACAACCTATGGTTCAATTTTTTTAAAGCCAGAGAAACCAACCAAAATGCGCAGTAAGTAATGTCAGCTATTTTTCTGTGCTTCATTATAACACGGGGCCCAAGACAATGACAAAGACGATCATGGTCTAATGAAGGTTGCCTTGCAGTTTTCCAGCCTGACAGTTGTTGCTCCTCCATCTGAAGTATGATACTTTCACACAGACAGTCAGAACTGTGGCTGTAAATTACAGCAGGCTAATCTCACATACCTTTTAACAGCTACTTATACAGTAACAATTTATAGAAGTCAGTGGCAGTGGGGTTCTCAAGCAGAGGTGTGGTATATAGTTTCCGAAGAGATTGACAAAGACATCTGGGCACAGCAATTGCTCACACAGTGGGAAAGACCGTACTGGGTATACTACGCATTGTTCCCATCAGCACAGGAACCAACACTCTCCCAATTTAGGCTCAGATCATGTGAAACCACTAATGTAGTTAAAGACAGCATCGGCCGCTGTAGGAGTTCACAATCAATTTCATCAAACAGCTTGAGTTTGCAGTAAGCCTCTTCTTGTGATCATGCACACTGTGCCCTGGTATGCAGGGTCAGCAGATTTCTTATAGAATACACCAATTTCCTGAGGCATGAAGATTCGTCAAGCCAAGAGTTAACTAAGACCAATTTTACAGCTGTATGACCTAACCGGATTACTATCAACCAACATGTGGATAAGATGTTCACACCCATGGCTTTACTGACACCTGAGAGCTAATTTTTACTTATTCATTTCAATGTTGACGCAGATCTGCCTTTGGAGTTTGTTACAAAACTATAATGTAATTGAGAATAGATGATAATTAATGATAATCAAGTAATATATACTTGCACACGACACAGCACCTTATGTCAAAATGTATCAAAGTGCTTCAAACAATTAGTTAATTTGAACTGTAGTTATGTATGTAGGCAAAGCTGTAACTAATACGTAGTAGCAAGATCCCCTACACAGCAACCACAGAATATTAAAATGGTATAGGGCAGAAAGGCCATTTGGCCTACTGCAACTATGCTGGTGCTGTCTCTCTCTTTCTCTCCCCCGCCGCCATCCCCCCCACCCCACCTGAAGCTATCTACTCTAATCCTATTCCCCCGCTCTCACCTTTTAACATTTCTCAGACATTTAGCTAAATTCCATTTTATATACTGTTATGGGCATTGCATCAATAGCTATTTGTGGTGAGGAAATCCATACTCTAACCATCCTTTGAGATGAATGAGGAATAATTCTGTGTTTTGATGAAAACTCTACGTTCCTAGCACAAGAAACATTCTTGATCACATACTGCAATAGCTAGCAGCGGTTTTATTAGACACACCCAGTAGAGTTCTGTTTATGATCCCCGGGGCAGGCACTCCTCCGCTTTGGATTGCTCAGATATGACACATTAGATTAACTCAGAGGATGCAACAATACTGTGGGAATGATGTATATTGACCACAAGTTTCAGGGTGTGGTGGCCTGCATAATGGCAATCTCCCTGCCCGTAGATCCCAAGAGTCAGTAATACAGTACAGGCTGATACTCCATTGCAGTCCTGGAGAGAGCTGCATTGCCAGAGGTGTAGTCCTATGGATGAGGTGTTAAACCACAGTTCTGTATAGTAATAATAATAATAGTAATCACATGCAAAGGTTATTATAACTGAAATTCTCTTATAAGCTCTGGGCGCAAACCGTGTGATGTAATACAGGGTGGAGGTGTAATTCATGCAAATCAGGAGGATCTCAGCCTGAATCTTTCGTCCTTGCTGAGTTAGGTCAGTGAGGAAAAGGATGTAGCAATAAAAAATTGTCTGCCAGTGTGCCTGGGCCATTGGGAAATAGACATCAGCTCATGACTTTATTCACTATCCAGTACAGACCAATACTGCAACAGCAACAATTATACATTTATATAATGTCATGATGTCCCGAGTAGGGGTGGAAACCTGGGGGGAGAAGATGCCTGAAGGCATAATGAAAGAGGAAAACTTGAGGCGGACCTTAAAAGAACTGAGGGAAGGAGGGAGTCGGAGGGACTCCAGGATAGAGTTCCAGAGAATGGGGGCAGATAGGCTAATGGGATCGGCTTCCCTGATGGGTTGGGTAGGGCATGGCCCATGAAGCAAATCTCTACCCACCAACCTGCTTCATGGGGAGCAGGTAGGTTTATATGGTTTGAGAAGGTCGCAGAGCTAGGTACTAGTGGAAAGGGCACGATGAATGTTTGGTGAGGCCAGGACTGAATGTGGCTGGGTGCCTGCTGTGCTCATTATCCTCCCCTTGCCCGGGGAAGAATTTCTGCTGACAGTCATTGTCTGGGTTCACACAGGAAGAACGATCATTAAACAAGAAGTTCAAGCCATTTTAAATTAATGTTTTTTTTCAGATCAGCTGCAGTTGGTGCAATGATTTAATTAATTTCAGGATCGGAGCTTAGTAACAAATCAATACTGTTTGATTTATTTTGCACTTCTGGCATCGAATCAACATTGAATTGAGACTCATCTTCTTCTATCCTAATAAAATGACAATGTCTGTCTGCGCTTCAAGAAGGATCTCATTAACCAATTGACATAGAGACACGAATTATACCTCATCGGAAAGTTCTTGCATCTGCGAGTGACTTTGGCATATTTGTTTTCTATCGTTTTATGAGTTATTTCAGTTTTGCTTTTTTCACTGCAGTTACATCTGGTGGTCACCGAGTCAAAGTGCCACTGTAGCATCGTGCGTCACAGAGCACCTACGTATGTACGCACACCCTGCAGTTACACCTGGTAGCCATGGCGGCTGACCATCGCGCTGTGGCATCCTGCGTCACAAAGCACGCACATAGCCAAGCAGCGGCAGGAATAAAATAAAGAACACAGACAAAGCTAAGCCATGGCAACAACAAAATTACAATTTTTAAAGCGCAATTCAGTCGGAAGGACATCCCAGTGATTATAAATTATACATTTATGTACTTATCATTATAACGATGCCTAAGCGAAAATCAAACCTTTCCAAGGATAAGTAAAAATACTAGACAAAAGAGAGAAGCCCATTAAATGAACTGAAGAACAAAGTCCTCCCACAGGAATCCTCCCAGATGAGTATAAAGATGAAATGTCTGTCTGTGTGTCTGTCTGTGTGTCGATCTACATTCCATATTGGATCCTTTGGTTGCTAGTGAAGTTGCAACAAGTACAGCTAGTGTTGCAATAATAGTGGAGCACAACAGTGGATACAGCAGGCTTGGGCATATGCCTTCTGTCCACCCGGTAACACGCACAACCAAGGCAGACGAGATTTCTGATCGGAAATTTGTTTTTGGTTCAAACTCCACTCTGGGTATTGGAACTCGCATAGTCTCAGCTGACATTCCAATGCAGTGCTGGGGGTGTGCTGCAATGTTGGAGATGCCCCTTGTTCCAATAAGACTTTAAACCAAGGCCCCTTCTGCGCGTTCAGGCATTACAGATCTCATGGCACTACTTTGAAAAGAGAAAGGAATTTCTCACAATCTCCTAGCCACAATCCCCCAACTAAAAGTGGGCATTCACTTCATGGCTGTTTGTGGGGAATTGCTGTGTGCACAATTGGCACACACAGTTTACAGCATATCCTGTGCTTTGGGATGTCCTCCTGACATGAAAGGCACTATACCAAATGTAAGTATTATTATTTATTATTATAAATAGTCACTATACTTTAGAGAAAATCCTGTGAAATTTCTCTTCCAAATTCATTGCTCTCCTCCCTCAACCTCATCCTCCATATCAACTCTCCCACCGACAGCCATGGTCTTATTCCCATTATCAGACAAGGTTTCGTTATTTCAGATGTAGAAAGATGTTTCAACCACGTCTCAACAAATGTAAGAATCATTATTATCTGTGTGGTATTGGAATCCCATAAACACAAAAAGACTTGCATTTTGCGAACACAAATTAGACTGCGTTTGAGTGGCTTTTTTTTAACAACCACAATAACTGAAATTCTCAATCTGCCTACAACACCGTATAAAGCAGAAACAGACGTCCTGAAAAAATGAACAGCAATAAAGCTTTGATTGAAAAAAACTCCAGCTGGATATGAAACTAAAAATCATAATTTGCACTAATTCATTTTGTCAAATTGGTTGAAAGAGATCTAAATCGTAGATGAAACTGTGTAAACAATGTTATAATGAAAAGGCAATGGGAAGAGATGTAACATTATACAGAAAGCAAATGCAGCATTCATAAGTCTGGGTGAATTGGGTGAATATCTGCCTGAGGCAGTGCAAAAGAGAAGGTTTGCTGCTCCTCAAATGTGTTTTTTATTTAAAATTGATATTCCCACTGCACAACAACCTGGAGAACAACCTGACTATGTTTTTTTTATCTCAGTGACCTTTCTGCAGGAATAGTTTGTTTCAGTATTCTGGCATAAACTGTTCAT